CAAAATTCCATATATAAATATTTGCAAAAAAATTGTCATTACAATCAAATCAAAACTTTAAAAGATAAGAAATAATTAGTCTCTTACCATGTCATAATTTTTTCTAGCCATGTCATATTTTATTTGGGAAAGTGAATGTGGAGATAACACATAAGCATCTTCTCACAAATCACTTCCCAATTAATATATAATAATAGATTTGTTTAATTTCAGATACCCTCTTAAGAAACTTCCAATGGAAGTGCTCTTAGGTACTTGTAGTTTATATGGGCTGGACAATACTTGATTACTACACTGATAATATGTTTTCCGTAATAGAACTTTCACATCACGATACAAAATTCAAATTTCTTTTCGAGATCAAGCGGTATGTGGTGAAAATTCCTCAGGCACAGAGCTACTTGACAGTGTTGCGAGATATCAAGAGGCAAACCTGCACTGTAGTTTATTCAGTTATCACATATCCCTTTTTGGTTGTATTAGTTGAATGAGAAATTAGTTATGAGACTGGCTTTGAGCATGAGATGTTTACTTGTCATATTGAAGAAAACATCCATAACATAAGAGTTTTTATCTGCTTTGTTTAGTGGCTGGTAGAGATTTTGTAATGTTGATGTCCAAATGAGCTGCAACAATTGTTATGTTTCAATTTCTTGTGTTTTCTTAGATTGTGATGCAATTTTCTGTGCTCTGCTCTCAGAGGCTTTTTGTTTTCCAAATGAGAGAGATGGTGATTTTCAGTTATTTACAACTGGTATTAGATTATATGGCGAATTGCACTTGCATTCCTTATTACTACACCTTTTCACTCTTGGATAAAAAGGTTAACTAACTTGAGAAAGAAAAACAAGAACTTCTGTGGTGTGAATATCATTGGCCTTGTGTGTCTGTGTCTTATCTTTACCATAAACTTTGCCAGAAGCTCATCCTTAATAATCATACGATTTAATTCTTTGTTTGCTCTGAATCTCAAAAGAATGAATCATTAAGGTTTTGGCGATAGAGAATTGGCAACATACAGAGACATGGGAGTCTTTGGCACTTCTCTTGGCATTAGTAGTTGAGGTGACAGTGTAGACAAGAACAAAACTACCAACAATCTCTGCACCAAGACATTAACCCTTTGTGTAGCCATGAGCCACTACATTGGCACCACCACCATTCGTTTGGTCTAGTCATGTTTGTCCAATCGTTCAAATGCACCATGTCCTATATCCTCTTGCGGATCAAAATGAACAATGAGAGATCCATTTAACTCATCATGTTTACCATTCTTTCGAACATGCTTTTGACCTCAGTCACAAATCTATAATTTGGTTCGACAGATTCCAAGAAATGTGCCATCTCGAAGCTGTGATAATTTTGACTTATCTTTCTATGAGTAATAAAATCTAACGCCCCACATACGGCACCAGATCACATTCAAGACTTAAATGGGAATAGGATGTAGATTTTTGTTGGTAGAACTAAAGACATAATGATTAATTATGATGAGATGGCTAAAAATTTATAGAAATTGTGGATGAAAAATTACAAATGTCTAGTTTTGGAATATGTAGAGTTAATAGGCTGAGTTCGGATTGCAAAACTTCGACACTAATTTTGGACCAAGCTCGGATATTGGATTTCTCGTAATAGGCGGAGTTCATATATGTGATTATAGCTTGGAGATCTGGCGTCTAGTCCTCATAAGGTTAAACCCTTTTTCCCACATGTCACGACATGGTCGGAGCTGTTGTCTTGGATCCGAATCATCTCACCTAGGGCGCCTTCTCTTCTC